CTTCACGTAAAATATACAATATTCTAACAATTCTAATTGAATTTATTGCCAAATCCTGCCCTGTATTTGCCAATAGTTTGAAAGTGAAGTAGGCCAAAGTTTTGACACAAACTGATATGTATTGTCACAAATCCCGGTTTTCAACAAACATGTCTACAACTATTAAACAGAGCGTAATAGTTTAAATCTTAAAGTATTTTAAGTTAAGCTGAAGGCAGATAATATCACGATATAGAGATCTACCAAACAAGCTCATTTAAATAAAACACTTTAAATAATTGAACATGCTAAACATTCTACTCACATTTTTTTTTATTTTAACTATGGCCCGACGTTTCGGATGCCTTGCAGAAGCTTTAGCGTCATCTGTAACGAAACAGTATTAATATATAAAATTTAGTTTTAATCAATACATTATGCGTTTTAAACCGTTAAGTATTTAACGTGTGTACTACTCCGGTAAACTACAAACAATACCAAAACATTATTATTTTTTACATGTTATTGCACATGAAGAAACTTTCGACTCGGTAGCTCAATTGGTAGAACAACAGCACGGAACGCTAACGATGCCGCTACAAGTCCTGACCGAGTCGTAATTTTTTTTCAATTTATTTTCGATTTTTAAATGAATACAAAATAATATTTATTTTTCGTATTAATTTTTCTAGCTATAGATAAACTAGACTCAATAGTGTCGTATTGTGTCCTTAATAACTGGGGTGTAGTGCGGACACATTTCTGTGTTCGTTTCTTTGATCGGGTTTATTTACAGCTAAGTAGCTAAACAGACTTCTGTGCCCTGCTACACTTCACACTGGATTAAAACCCAGGACTCGCGTTTAACACAATGCTAGGCAACACGTTTAACCGTTTAGCCCCGACTATCCAAAGCCAAAAAGGGTCGGCAGCGCATCTTGGTTAGATGTTATGTGGCTGGGCTATTTCACCAAGTTATAAAGGCAGTCAAGGTGTAAGTTCTAAGTACACTTAATCTCTGACCTCAGTTATAAATAATTAAAAGGTCCTATCTAAATCTATCGCGTACATTGTAATCCGTCATAAGCAACCTACTTTTTGATAAATGAAATTGCGTGTTTCGTTATTTCGACTGCATCATTTGCTTGTATCCATTAACATTTAGATTAAGAATTTGTATATTCAGATTGTAGATAAATCTTATTTAAATACTGTCTATAGTTTACGCGAGTAGTACACATTTAAGTAAAACACTTTAACGGTTTAAAACGCAATATATTAGTTAAACTCATTTGAAAATGATTTTTACGTCTCCCCGTGACCACGGCTGCTGAAAAGCATCCGAAACGTCGGGCCGACGTTAAAAATTATTTTCAAATATGTTTAACTAATATATCGCGTTTTAAACCGTTAGTGTTTTATTTAAATCTCATTTATATAATTAAATACATATTTAATAACTAACAGCCTAGGTTATTATTGTTCTAATTAAAACCTTAATATTATGTGCTAGTGGCGAACCACGAAGAGGGTCTTATCTTTGTAGATCAGAACGGACCTGGTATATATTAGTATTGTTCGTCGTTCTTATTTTATTTTACTTTACATTATAACAAATTACTATGTATTGCTTGCTTTTCAAAAATCAGCAGTGAAATTAAGAATTTTGAAAGTGTGTCTGAAATATATTACGAGGGACACATTTTTGTGGCGTTTCTTTAATCAAATGTCACCGGTACTCCTCTCTTGCCCTTTTACGCACTTGTTAGGTACAATAATGGATATAATAAGTACCGGATACATTTTTTTTTCCTTAAAAGTGAGAATATTATTTCGAATTATAGATGAATTTATTTTAAATTAAACAATAATATACGTGTCTTATCCCGTATATGTCGTCTTGATACTAGAACAACCTAACTAACTAGACTATCAGGAAACTAAATGCCAGGAATTCGAGACAAATTCCCCAACAATGTAGTGATACAAATGGGACTAAGAGGCTATTCATTTATTGTGTAAGACGATTTAGGGGTGGGGGGGGCTGAAGTCTTAATTTTTAACAAGAGTTGGGAGAGAGTTTTGATATATCTGACAAAAGATCAAAAGGGCGCAATGTTAAAATTGTTACAATTGACTAGATTTTGAATTCCTAGACTCAAAAAACAGTAAAAATTTCAGGTACAAGTAGTTTTATTTTTCTATGGATTCTTACGTAATAAATATTTAACAAGGGGGAAGGGTCTGTCTATTATTACTTTTGTTTTAATATGGGGGGGAGGTCAAAAACAAGCTAAAATAATTGACGTAATAAATAACCAAACCCTACGCTGGTCAACGCTTAAGATACACACCTGGACATTTACCAATGCCATTACCGCAAATTGTATTGGAATTGGTTCCCCATACCTTTGGGTCAAGAATTCCCTAACGCTGTCACCTTTGTCTGTAGACACAGACCCATTTACATGTAAATGACAATGTATTTATTGAGCCACTTTATACACTGTTGCGGTTTTAAATGGGCTTTCATTGAGTTGCTTCATTTCCTGACTGCGATAATGACATAATATGTTTATTTGTGTATATTTATCGATAGGTATAATAGATATAGATTGAATTAAGATTGAACAAAATTGGCGACGCAGATGGGGTGCGGGACAGGGGATTTGAAAACTTTTTTTTTATATAAATTAGTAGCGACCCACCCCGGCTTCGCTCGGATGCAATGGTGATAATAAATACACTATAGAAAAACTGTGGACATTGTATTTAAAACCAGTTCTCTTACATCACTCTATTTATTTAAAAAACCGCATCGAAATCCGTTGTGTAGTTTTAAAGATTTAAGCGATCGATCGAGATACCTAGGGATCGAAAAAGCTTTTTTGTTTTATAAGTCTTACTTACTATGTCATATATATAGACTATGTAGACACAATTTTACAACACGGGCGGGACTTGAACCGGCGTCCGCATCGTTCCGTGCTTTTGCTCTTTCCGGTTTGACACGGTTAGAGATTAAAATGATAACATGAGTACGGAACTCGTAAAATTGTGTCAGCCTGTCAAATGTTTAATTAACATAATGTCATCCTGTTAATAATATTATGTAAAAAAATAATTAAGTTATCAAAAAATAGTTTATCTATTGAAACATTCTACTAGGTTTCTACGCTTACTAGTTTGACGTATATTATAAAATTTACGTCGAAGTGACATTGACGTAAATCGACGATGATTCGTTATTATGGGTTAGGCGGCAAAAGCTATGCTATATTTTGTTTATGCCTGTGTGTTAGTTACAACCTTCAAATTAGAGCAGATTTAATAATGCCCACATTATCTTTTTCATGTTTTTGTTATATGTGTTGCCTGGTATTGCATTAAGCGTGAGAGATTCTGGGTTCAAATCCCGAGAAAACAATAGATTGTTCAAATCGAGCAAGGTGCAGAAGTCTGGTCAAAACCTGTAAAAGACTCTATCAGTGAAACGGACACAGAAATGTGTTCACTACTTTTTGTTTCTTATAACATATACACAACGAGTATAAAATTAATCTTTTTTATAAATATTGTGTTAGTAATGTCACATTGCTTTCTTCGAAGATTATTTTTTTAATTACGGGATTTTTCATAGAAGGTAGTAGATAATTTTCATTATAACAATAAGTTATTAAGCGATTCTTATTCTTTGTTATATCAATGTCGCTGAAGTGTTTCTGATCAGATCCTGAAAGGTTTTACCGCGAATTTAAAAGACATTTGTTTTAGATGTTATTTTGAAATGTTATTCTGCTGTCTATAGTTTACGCGAGTAGTACACATTTAAATAAAACACTTTAACGGTTTAAAACGCGATATATTAGTTAAACTTGTTTAAAAATGATTTTTAACTTCGGCCCGACGTTTCGGATGCTTTGCAGCAGCCGTGGTCACGGGGAGACCTGCAAAGCAAAGCATCCGAAACGTCGGGCCGTTATTCTGCGTCTAGTACAGAAATATTAGAAAATAAGACAAACCAATTGTTTAAATTAAGGGTTAGACGTTATTTACTTTAATGCAGTAAAATGTGACGAGTACCTTACAGATAGTAACTAAAAATCCAACACTAAAAGGTAATTTGCCTCAAACAATGATTCACTCTGATCACGCCTTCAAAATATGCTGCCAGCTACACTACATAAATCATCGGAGTCGATCATAATCAAGCATGACTCGTTGTTTTAGACCAAGTAGAGTTAATCAAGTAAAAAAATACCTGAAGGAAATTAATTGGGGTTTTCATTGGCGCTGCGGCAACTCCATCAACGTCAGGCCTTATTGAGTGCTAATATTAAAAGCATTTGAAAGCTATTCAAGTTTTTAATTATAATAATGAGTATACTGTGGTGTGCCTGCGGGTTTTTACGATTATTATTAGTATACAGACAGAGAACACAATAGCCACCCCACCTATAAAACATAGGTATAGACAAAATGTACTTTTAACCTAATTTGGCTTACGGGAACTCCTTACCAAAACGTACAAATAGCGTATGCTGGCCGTAGTAACGGAGGCGCCGCTTACATACGAAGTAATAGTAATAAAAACTGACGAAGTACATGTTTTAGAGAAGTTATAAGAACATTGTTGTATGTTGTGGGAACGAAACCCACGTCTCGTCATTAGACAAACTAACAAGCCCGTCAAGACAAAATTTAATTATGATTTATAATTTAACCCATAACAATTTCAGTCATATGTATGTAAAAATCTTTATGCGTTACCGCTATAAAATAAAGTAGCAAAAAACGCAATATTATCTGTAGATATAATCCTTATTGGCATTGTCATTAGCTGTGACGTTTGTTACCGACAATTGACCAAAATAAATCTATGAGTGACAGTTTACATTAATTGTTTTTCATATTGTTATGCTTGTAATGAAAAGGCGAAAACCGATTCAAAACAATGATTAGTTTACCCTTTAAAATTAATTATAATATTATCTTATAATTGTATTTAAAAAATAATTAAAATGTGCAGTGATAGTATCCAGATTTGTCGAATATGTTTAAGTGCAAATGTTAGACTTTTCAGTTATGATCAATACAAATTGAATTATTATTATGAAAGTGTTTTAGGTTCGACAGTAAGTTTTGTGCTTTTTTCTTTTTATAATTACATGAATAAATAATTAATAAAGCTTCAAACATCATTGTACTTAGTAAATAAGTAGTATGAACTATATGCGATAATTATGTTAACTTTCATTTGCTCTAATTATTAGTTACTTAAATTTTAAACAACTTTACAGATATACAGTAAAGATGGTTTACCACATTACTTTTGCTTTGAATGTGCATCACTGTTGCAAAAGTATCACAAATTCAAAGAAAAATGCTACACTGCAATGAAGGTTTTTAAAGATATTCTGTGGAGAGGTTCTGTAAGTATCACGATTAAGTAACTTTAATACTTAGTTTTTTAACATTAAGGTTTAAAAACTTTAATAGTTTTTACATGTTATTGCACATGATGGCACTATATAGATTGTAAATCGAAAATAAATTTGACTCGTACTGACATCGTCAGCGTTCTGTGGTGTTGCTCAATTGAGCTACCAAGTTAGTAGACTCGAAAGTCCTGCACTAGGCGAAAATGTTTTTAATCTACTTAGGCCTTAAATTTTCTTTTCCATAAACACCATGGACTCTAAATAAAAGGGGTACATAAATTTCTTACTCTCCATTACTATTAAAACGTCTGTCTTTAGCACATAAAAAAATTGCAAAATGTTTCAGATTACTTATGATGCAGTGACTCAAATAGATAGACAACATTTGCAACTGTTGTCTCCATTGTCAATTTCACAAGATTTGATAGTTCACACACTTTTGTATGATGAGTTTAAAATTGTAGATGATAATAAAGATTACATAGAAAATGTTCAAGTGGACAAATTAGAAGCAACAACAGATAATGAGGTGGACTTCAAATACAATTCGGATACAGATATCTTTGACTCTAAAATGGAAATAAAAAGTGAGGATGAAAAAGAAAAGAAAGATAAATATGAGCTCAAAAGGTTGATGCTTTTTAATAATGCAAATTGGAAATTAGTTACATTAACTGAAGAGGAGGCTATGAAGGTAATAAAGGGAAAGATTACAGAAGATATATATTTTTGTGACTAGATTTGCAACACATCTGTTATGTATATATACATACTGTTTCAAAAACTATTTTTTTAACATTGTATTGTCTCTAGTTTATCAGAGTGGTACATTTGAAATATGTAAAACTTTTGACAATTGTATTTTTTAGGCATTCAAAGCTCGTGGAGAGGATGAAAAATACACCTCAGCAAAATTTAAATGTACAGATTGTTTTAAAGGGTTTTCTAAAGAGGAAATGATGAAAAGGCACAGACAACTTAGGCACAATACAGTAAGTTGATATATGTTTCTAAGACCATTATCCTGCGCTCTCACTCAAACATATGATTATTGTTAGTTGTCTCCGGGGAAAGATTTTGACAAAAAATCTGGATCTTGAATTTGTTGAACTTCCATCTTTCCATCACAAATCACCTTCCACATATGAAAAAGGCAGAACTTTTCATCACATAGTGGATTTTAGAATATCCAACATCATGTTGCAAATAGTTGGGGTTTTTACCTTCCAACAAGTGAACCCACGTAGAAGACAGCTCAAAAATAAAAAAGTCTTAGCATTATTATTATTGAGTGTTAATTATTTTTAGTCCAAAGGTACATTGGAGTGTGGATTCTGCCGCATGAACTTCAAGTTTGGCTGTCATGTCCGTCAGCATATGCGGGACCATCTCAACACCTATGAATGTCTTAGATGCCATCAGGTTTTCATGTCTGAGTAAGTACAATTGTTAGTTAAGTAATGAAGTTAAACCTTTCTTATGTCACAATTTATTTTTAATTGTAATTATTACATATTTCAGGCCTTCAGCATTGCACCATGAAAGATCTCACAGTGGAACTATAAGGACCTGTACCTATTGTGCTGAAGAATTCAAGTGAGTTTCTTTATAAAAATCATTTCGCTTAACCCTCAGGCTGGTGTAATGGTAGCAATGTATTCGTAATAAATTAATAAACCATGAGTCATGGGTTGATCCAAGTCCAACGTGTTTCTAAATAATTGTTTTTTCTGAAACATGCTGGAATCTCAATGAGTGGTAGGTATATCAAAATTCTGTACACAGATGTAAAAGCCACGAAGTTTAATCGTGTTTCGGTTTCGTCTATGCATTTCTCAATGTCCAAGCCAAAATAGGTTAGGATGTTATAAGATGCTTGTCTGTGATAACTGTCATAAAAATTTGTTTTTTTCTTATTAATGAAATTTTAAAAACAAGATCCTCTTATTTTTATTACAGACATCCTTCAACATACTACTCGCACCTACGCACACATAGAAGCCAGCATATTTGCACTATCTGTGGTTCATCCTTTGTCAGTGAGATTGGCCTGCAACAACATAAGCGGGTAAAACATTGGGCAGGCCAGGCTGTAAGTATCAGTATTATTTATCTTAAAACACACACACACAAAACTAAATGCGACGTCAAAGTCCAGTCAAGTGAAGATTTGACTTCAAACCATTTTTGTATTCATGTAGTTAATTATGTAAAGATATTTACTGCCAGTTCGTAGGTCGCAGAACCATCGAGAAAAACTGGCAAGAAACTCGCCGCTACTCCTTTTATCGTCATGTTTCTACCCTATCACCAAGCTGTTCCCATAAAACGTGACACTTGATGGTTGAAACAGAGAAATATATATATACATATTATAATAATATTCTCAAGAACTCATACACACAAGCGCGATTCTCAAATCGATATCGATGACGACAATAGAAATATTCGCTTGTAATATGAACATAATATTAAGTTCCTATAATTTATATTGTATTACAAATCTCATATTTGTACTTAGGACAACCAAGAAGACGACGACTCTGCGAATACATTCTGCGTTCTTTGCAACAAGAACTTTGAGACTAGAAAGGCGTTTGAGGAACATCTATTTCACTCAGCAATGCATACAGATACCACACCGTATGTAGAAGTATCTATGTAATGTTTTGTTTTGCATGGAATTGATATATATTTTTTAATAAGTCGACCTGGACGAGACAGTACCTGAACCGACGATCCCGAACCGAAAACGTTCAAGTAGGGGACGACCGGGCGTACTGAAAGTTTTTTGGGGAGGCCTATGGACAGCGGCGGACACCGAATAGCTGAAACCATAATAGTTTTAAATAAAAAAAGATAACAGAAAATTTCTTAAAACATAATTTTCACTTAATTAAAATTTGACCCTTCGATCTTTCATAAAACCGAAACTCGAATTTTGACAGCACCACCTTTTTTAATTGTCTGGTACATCGTTACCTGGATACAATTTCGATTTCATAGACCTATTTAATGAGCATATTTACTAATTCTTCTATCTTGGTATCAAACATATTAAGATAGTCTATAAGTGGTAGTTGGTCAATTAGAAGACTGTTATAATATTTTTTACACTAACTGAATGTCAAACAATTGTTCCAGGATTGATACAGACAACAAAACCGAGGTTGTGTCGGCCAGAAAAATACTTGGAAAGAAAATGCAAGCAAGAGTATGTTTTTATGTAACCTTTATTTTATATTTTGATTAGTTTTTAATACATTTTTTAGACTGATTTCTTTGTTTGCAGATCGCGAAGCAATTGCGTAGTCGGTAAGTTGTATACTATAAGTTAATTCACGAGTTATATTAACACTTTTTTTATGGTCTAAGTTGATAGAGTCGTGATCACAAGGTAACCCGAAACGTCGCGTCGTAGTGAAAAAGTAACTTTTATAGTACTTATTTGAACCCTTAAAAAGTATTTTATTTACTCGATTAAAAACAGACACGAATTAAAAATAGAAATAGTGTAAATATAGAAAGAATATTTTTTCCCCAGAAAAGAAGACGAAATCAACTTTAAACCAGTGAAAAGAAGATGGCGCCGAATGCGAAAACAATTCCGTAAGCCCACGACTTGTCACCAGGTAAAATAAATAACTTTTTGTGTAAATTAGTTAAGATATTTCTTACTCTTTCACGGTAAATTACTAAACAATTTATTATTTATCTGAAGATTAATCGTACTACAGTTTCAGTGTGTCCAAAGCTAAAATAAGTCAACATCGTATCTTGCTTAGATGTTAATAAATGTAGTTAATAACTTGTCTGTCTTCCTCTGTTAAAATATTATTGCAATTATATCATTTGCATTCCGCAGTGTGGTAAGTCTTTTGACTCTCAAATGGCCTGTATGAAGCACCATCACGAAGAACATCCCCGGACGTCCTTCCATGCGCCAAACGAAAGATACATTTGTGAAGTTTGCGGAGCGTCCCTTGCGGTAACTGTTTATAAAATAGTACAACATCAGAGTACCCTATCCATTTAAGAAACATATTTCTTTTGTTTGAGTTTTGGATTTATTTCAGCTTTATAATTGGTTTTGTATAACATCCCTAATACCTAAAACTGCATTTAATCATGTGCTGTTGTTAGCCTATCTAGAATGCAGAAAAAGTATTTACTACTATATTATTATCTGTAGCAAAAGTTTCTATAATCTATTCATTTTTTGTTTTTATTAACAGCCAGGTAGTGTTGCGACGCACCAAAATATGCACACAAAGGAAAAGGTTCACGCGTGCGAAACTTGCGGACGACAATTTGTATCTAGTGTGGGACTGAAGCGACATCTAGTGGTAATTATTTAAACCTTGCTGTTAACAATATAAGTTTGAAACAAAGAAACAATATGCTTAGTCAATATTGTGCATAACTAATCAGTCAAAAGCAATTAGCGTTTGAGTGGCCTGGTTGATAGCAACGGATCACTAATAATCATCAATGGGGAGGGATTCGATTACAAAGTGACTGAGACCCTTTAATTTGTGGATTCCGAATATTCAAAGCCTAAATAGGTCAATAGCGCAATATTTTTAAGTAGTATGGCTAGGAACCCATGTATAAGTAAGCGTGAAGCGACTTACCCTACCTGAACTATGTATATTATTATGTAAACATATGACAAAAATCTTATTTTGCAGACGCATACAGGAGAAAAGCCCTACCAATGTACAATGTGCGAGAAACGGTTCACACAGAGCAACAGTATGAAGTTACACTACAAAACATTCCATCTCAAACAGCCTTACCCAAAAAGGTAACATTAATAAATCTCATTGTAATTATTTGAATGATAACGACCATCTTCGTAGCTCAATCATGATGCATAACATTGCGTTAGTACGAGAGATCCTGGGTTCGAGTTCTGAGAATCTGAAAAAATCGGCCGGCAAGGAACAAAAGTCTTGTTTAGTTAAAAAAAGCTATTATTGAAACGGACACAGAAATGTGTTTAGCTCACGGTCCTCTAGGGTATCGGGATAACAGTTACAACATAAGTTTAATTATACATCAATATTTTTAACGTTTTATAACGCGTAATATATTAGTTAAGTTAGTTTTAATTAAACAACCACCCGACGTTAATTAACTAATATATTTCGCGTTTTAAACATTTAAAAGTGCTTTATTGAAAGGTGTAGTACTAGCGTAAACCACAGTAACATCTTATACTTACTTACTTACTTACTCCGCTGGCGCAGCGACCCAAAGTGAGTCTTGGCCTCCGAAACTAAAGAGCGCCATTTTTGCCGATCCTGTGCGGCTGTTCGCCATTCGGCTACACCGAGCTCGCGCAGGTCCTTCTCCACGGCGTCCTTCCAGCGATATCTTGGCCGGCCGACAGGTCGGCGGCCAGTTGGAATTCCGATATACGCTTTCTTGACACTCCGATCATCTCCCATTCTCTCCAAATGGCCAGCCCAGCGGAGTTTTTGGGATTTAGCTTCCCCCATTATATTGGGTTCGTTTACGAAGTTTTCGATCTCCTCGTTTTTCCTGATTCTCCAGCTTCCATCCTCCCTTTGTGTCGGGCCAAGAATCTTCCGCAAAATCCTCCTTTCGGCCACCAGTAACTTTCCTCTTCCTTAAGCGTCAACGTCCATGTCTCGCATCCGTACAGTAGAATAGGACGGATGACGGTCTTGTAGATTCGGATTTTGGTTTTCCGGGTAACATCTTATACATCATGTTTTATAAATTATTGTAAAGAAGTTATAAACTCTATATTGATAATAATAATTATTTTTTACAGAAACAGAAGAAAAAAGAAGGACTTACTTGAAAATTTGGACACAATAGAAGGTGATGTTGCACCCCAAATTGCGAAACAAATAACTCAACCGGGAATTGAAATAGCCACCGAGCCCAACGATGCTTATATGACCCTGCCATATGACACAACGGTTTATAGGAAACCTATGTAGTTATTATAATATAAACTCTGAACAATTGCCTAAGCTAATCAGGAATGCCAGGGCATTCCCGATCCCACGAAATAAATCAGTACGCAAAACAGACGCATCTTTGTGTCTGCATCATACAATACAGTTCAAAAAGATAATTCTGAAATTTTTATTGCCAGAGTAACTACCTTCACTTAACCCCTTTCTTGTGATTGGTCTTAAAATATATAAGTAATAACTTATGGTTTTCATGAGATAGTGAACTTGGGATATTATTAAGCTTGGTTGTAGAAAGTGTCACTAACAGTAAGTATATACCAAATGCTATGGTTATCTGTAGTGCGTAGGGAGTGTCCATAATTTTAGGTTTTCTGAAGTAAGAAGGATTTTGCCTGTATGTTACTGCTGTACCATTTTTCAAATGAAAATAAAAAATATAAAGTGGCATTTGTTTAATTAAAACACGCATGTACGACTAAAATTTAATCAATACATAATATACATCACATGTTTACTGACACCAGTATATTGCTATTCGGTTTAAAACGGTTAAATTTATGCGGCAAATCATTGTGTTTCTTTTTGTAAGTAATGTATTCTATTAGCAGATGGCTACTGTAAATGTACATGAATCGTCTAGTATAACAATAAAAAAGCTTAAATATGGCTTAACTTTTAGATTCCTCCTTCCTCTTATCTCCTATTGGGTCCGGCATTCTGCCAAGTAGATCCCGCTTGATGCAGGATTTTTCATTCTAAGGAGAAAGAGAATAAATTTATCAAAATAATTAGTAATAAATTTTTAAAAGCAGTTTCAAAATTATACAATTGTTTGGTATAGGTGTACCAACATCTTTTAATCTTAAGGAATTTAGTTCTATACCTGAATGTTTTACTTAAACAACAAAAGTCATAAATATTAAACCACAGAAAAACAATCAAATATACGTACATTGCAAAAGCATGTTAAAATGGGTTGGCCAAATTAGACAAGGACAAGACATGGTAGCCCAATTGGTTAGACCAGCACCACAGAAGCAGAATGTTATCATGTGCAATTGCAAGATAGTAAAATTTACAAACTACCTTCTCATTTAAAATTTTAATGAATAATAATTTCTGACACATATATGATATATAATACTCATTATTAACATATTGTTTTATAAAAATGGAACACAGAGGAAAGCTAATGCTGTCACAAAGTATATTTTATGGTTAATGATAAAACAAAAACATTCACATAAATATATTACTTTTCTGACAGATGCATTCTGTTTTTATGATGTCCTTACCTCAATATCTGACGAGTCATCACTATCACTAGACGTCTCTGTATAATGTCCTAATCCAGGAAGCACAGCGACGGACCGCATTGCACCTAATGTCTCAGATGGTACCACTATGTTACTTTGTGTGCTAAAAAAAACAAAAATGGTAAAGAGTTCTATATTACTTTACCTTTAATTATATATACTATTATACTTTAGTAGATATTACTTGTATAGTATTTCTACTAATATTATAAATGCAAATGTTTGAATTTAACTGTAATGAATTAGCCAGACAAGAAAAATTGCTGGTTAAGGCATATGGGTAATATAATAATATATACTAACACTTTATTGCAGATTCCATTTGTAGGTGAAGGTTTTTCTTTATTTTCACCCTCCATTTCACTTGCTTTCCTCTTTCGTACAACCACCTAAAATATAAGATTATGAGATTATAACCTCAAGATATTTATTTATAAATTGTGGATAAATATAATTAAAAAATAAATAGTATATAAAAAAATATGTATTGACATACTCCTTGTAATTTGCTTTTTTGTGTCTGTGGAGTTTGTGTAGACCGGGCTGGAGCTAACTGTGCACGTAATCGTATTATTTCTTCACTCTCAGCTAGATTTGATACACGTTCCCTGAAATGATATATTACATTTATAAAAGTGAAACCCCAATTCATCCGATGGGGCATGGGGTGAAAAGATGGCTTCTGTGCCCTGCCTGACCAAAACAATATATCCTTTCTCTAAGATTTGTACCTAGGACCGCTCACACTTAAAGCATTGCTAAGCCATACTTTTAAACATTTTGCTAGAGAGGCAGTCACTTAAGCAACATTTTGCTGTTGTTATACTTAGAAACAAACCTTACCGAAATTCCTGCATTTCTTTCTGCTCTTCAATGCTTATCTGTTGTGCTACTTCTGCTTTTGTTCTTTCCACAAGATCAAGAAATCCAACTTCATCATCATCCAGCCCTCTAATCATATTTTCTGGAAATATTATATTTAGTTATAACTCAAGTAAGTAGTGACTTGATTTTTGGTAAATATTCAGTCAGATAGTCAGGTAAATAAATCAATATTGTCCATCTGACAAAACAGTCTGCTTGTAAATATAAAAACAACAACCTATATAGTACTCACTTAGCTTGTGTGCTTCTTCATATTCAGCTTCCTTCTTGAGTCTTTGCTCTTCTAAGCGTTGGAAAAGTGGCCGTGAATCGTAGGGTTCCTCTGGCGCCTCTGGATTGGAAAATGAATATGTTAAAATTGTTATTGTTTATTGTATTCTACATAGTAGCGAGATATACAACACACCCTGGGGCTGGTCTTCTGTACGCACTTTTTCCCATTCTTCCTGGCGGCGCTGTCTAGCCTCCAATATTTCCGATTCAGTAATAAATCCTGAACTCATATTTATATAATTTATGTCGATGATTAAATAAGTTGATTTTACGCCTGTAAAACAACAAACAATCTTAACCTTTTCTATAATTTAAAAACGAAATTGTTTTCAATTCAAGAGTGTTAACTGAGAGTTCTTCAGTAAAATGTCATACGTCATGAATCTTTGAAGTATTACACATTACTTTAACATTTAAAGGCAAAGACGTCTGTGGTTATAGCTTATTTGAATTGTTTAAAATAATACGGTTCTGTGAAATGCAAATTGTCAAATGTTACTTCATGATTGTTGATTGTTGAAGTTTTTAATAGCCGGTATGTAAAAATAGATATAATGTTTGTTTTAAATAATCGATTTGTATGTATTATTATTAGAATTATACTATTTTCGTATTCAAGTAGAAACACCGTTGAAATTATTTTTAATATTTACCGTTTATCTTAAAGGTGACAGCGTCTCACAGTACTACACTTTCAAGGGGCCGTAACTTTTAACTCTGCCTGCTTATTTTTAACCACAACATGTCCGATTCAGGCACGAAAGATACACAGAAAAACAATAGCGAATTTGTTGAGGATGGCACAAATAAGTTAATTGTTAAATGTAAATATTGTGGTTCCAAAATTTTAGACCGAAAAGCTGGAAAATTCGTTACAGACGAGGTACTTCAACTCAAGCACAAATGATAACTTTAATTTAATAATGCTTACTGGCAAATATTGACACAAATTAGTACAAATCTGCTTGAAATCTTGTCCACTTAACTATTCATTATTCCAAACATTAAAATGAAATATTTATTTCAGATTAATTTACCTCTAATGCTACAAGAAAAATCACCAGACAGCCAAGTGCAATATGAAAAAATAAACCAGTTTTACTTTGTAGACAATATGTATACATTTGAAAACATTGGTTTTACACATACAATAGATAATTGCAAGTACTTAAGCTGCGCTGATTGCGATGCTGGCCCCATTGGGTATTATAACATGGACACCAAGCATAGTTATGTTGCACTCTCTAGGGTTAAGCATGAATGATCTTAGTTTAATTGTAAAAATGCTTTCGCTCACAGAAGAAATAAAATTGAGCAATAAATATCAATTGATATTAATTTATTAGAACAAACCAAATGTTTAAATGATGTATCATTCCACAAACAAAAATTCTTATTTATGTGTACTAATAAAATTGTATACACACTGCCTTTTGTATTTGAATGCACTGTATATTTATAGTTTTTATGTATCTTGATGAAATATCTGGTTTTTTATGTATTTATTCAATTTAGTTAATAAAATTTTACGCTTGTATATGCAGTTTTTTTTTTACTATGGAGAGACAGGCTGGCAGATAACATAATATATTAATAATAATAAAAAAAATAATAATTTCGAATGATGGAAGTTAAAAAGGCGATAACTTCAGAAAACCTTTTGTATAATAGCAGTTTTCTATCTTGTCAATCTATAGTTAGTGTAACATCAATATAGAATCTATCTATAGAATTATTATAATACTCAAGCTAATAAGAAACTCAACGAAAAATTCGTTTCAACTTGTATCGGTTTCCGTGGTGTAGCGGTTATCACATCTGCCTAACACGCAGAAGGCCCCCGGTTCGATCCCGGGCGGAAACATACCTTTTGTAGATTTCCGCTTTTTATTTTTTATTCTATATTTTGTAACTATAGTCACTACTGACAAGTACATGCATTAATAAATATCATCAGCAATGAAAAAACATTTCCAGTCGGCAATAAGTCAAAAGTCACACATACTATATATATATAAGACTTGTAATGTAGTGTCCACTAAACAAGCGTATTTATATAGTGTTTTTCGTATTAGAAATAATTACATTAGTCCATCAGTAGGCTATAGATATGCACCAGGAAAACTATTAATAGAAAAAAAAACAAGATAATTAGAAAGAACAAGATTATTATTAATTCTATTATTATGTCACATTGAAATATTCGAATTTCTTGGTTATTTAGACATATTATTTCATAATTATTCAAATAATATAGATTTGAATTTCTCTTAAATAATATAGTTTATTATATTTACATAGGATTATATACCTTCCTACAACTAGCTAGTAGTTGGTTCAACGTACCTTCTAATTTATTCTTATTGCAAATTGTTATATTTATCGTATTTACTTACATCGGCATACTTTGCCAAAAAAAATTAAAACATGCTAGTTCGATAAATAACTATCATCTTAATAATTATGTACACATGATGGAATACCTTCGCAAACTTTATTTATTTTTCTGTGTCTTTTCTGCTTAAGATAGCATAAATCTATTTAAATTGATTATTTACGACACGGGCGGGACTTGAACCGACATCCATAGCGTTCCGTGCAGCTCTAACCAATTGAACTACCGTGTACGCGTTATCGTCGAATCGCTTAATTCATTGATACATAAAACTTTTGCGTATAGTAATTTCAACCTTAACACTTACATATTAAGGTTTAATGTTTTATATTTGTAGCGGGAGAAATCATTGAATGTTAAATTACAGTTTGAAAACTTTAATATTTTTCACATGTTTTAGCATATTATTTAAAAAAAATGCATTATTTAAATTAAAAATAAAGGATCAAAATAGTCTCGACCGTGTTGTAAACTTTCTAATCTAATTATATATTTATTATATTCCTATTGTAAAGAAGAATTTATTCGCTAGTTTCGTGGCCCTCTAGAAAGCTGACGCCGCTCGTTACGTTCGTTACTGCAAAGTACGATTCATCGGATTTATGCATCTACGGAACTGCTGACGTGTGTACCTACAACTAAGGTGTATCGACAAACAGACATCGGGATTCTTGTATAAGTTATGTTGTAATAATTGCGTACTACTCGTGTGTGTTTATAAAACGATCGAAGTAAAAGAACGAACAAGCCATAACGGTACATTTAAACAATTCTTTACAACTGGACACGCTCGTTCTTGTGATAACAATGTACTGCTACTAAACAACGAGTCGCGGGTTCGATCCCCACCGGATTTCTATATCCCCAACTTCAATTTACAATTTTCCTGAAACATTTTGAATTATATTGTGTTAGTGTGTGTCATACATATACACAGACTACATACATTCAAGGAAATTGGTTTCAAGACTGTTTGCAGGAGGCAATGAAGGCTTCTATAGAATAAGATTTCCTTTACCACTTCCTCATATTCGGCAGTCGCATCTAATGGGGTCAACGTTCAGAAGCGACAACAAAACAAGCATACATACATCTATATCTATTTATTATGTTAGTCTGCCTGTGCATATATGTAAACCACTATCATTTTCACAGTTTACGAGCTATTATATAATGCAACCGTAAGTAGTCGTACGTTGCGTTCAGTGGCGGTCCAGGTTTCGAATCCCGTGTGAGCTTAAACCATTTTTTAATCAAGTTCACCAAGTAACAAAACAGACAAAGAGTTTTACCCAATCCAGGCGACTTACATATACTTATGATAAAAAATGATAGACAACCATGCTGCGCACTTAATGGAAGTAAAATACCCCAATTATATAACATCTTAATAGGAAAGCGACAGATTGAAACCGAAGCGTGATTAAACTTCACAGCTTTTTCATCTGTGAAACGAACGGAAATCCGATATCCCTATCGCGCATTTAATAACTGCATTTCCAGACGAATCCAACATGTCAGAAGAATTACAAAGAACCCACGGCCAGTTGATTATTAGCCATATCGTTTCAGCGATGAACCGACACCAACCGAGCTTAAAAGGGCAAAACTTTGGTCCTTAGATGTGGCGTAGTACTAGTACATTCGTTTTCATTGATGTACCAACATCTAGATGGTCACTAAAGAACCGCTTATACAATAATATGTAAATAACTTGCATACAATTTAGATTGGTAGTTATTAAACTGTTATCCAACGTTGACGTCATAGAAATTGTATGTAAATTTAACATCATTTAAGTGAAGAGGTTTCTACTTCGTAATGGAAAGAGATATCTACAAAATTAAAACATAAAATACCTTATATTTTATTACTTGATGCATTATTTATATTTTTTATTTTCTTTATTTTAATGCATGAAAATATATACATTATTCGGTGAAAACATATTATATAAGTAAATTAATTGTAATATTAAAGTTTTTTTCTAGTCTTAAAACAATGACTATAAAATTATATAGTAATGTGCACGCGTTCGCGAATTCCTAGCTCTATTGCCTTCAAGTCGCTGAGACGAACTTGCATTTTGTTCTGCAAAACGAACCTGAACATTCGACCATAGATTCTCTGGCTTGCGATTGGGACGCGTACACTATAATACTTTCTAGATAATCATTTTAAGGAGGAGACTCACGACAAACACGTTTACGTTCTAGCTAACACAAAAATTATTAAAATTATATAATTCGAACCAGGAAAGTTTCGCGCGTACAAACAAACAAACAATCAACCAAACAAACTCTTCAGCTTTGTATATTAGTATAGAATATAGATATACAAAGTTAGTATGTGACCTTATGTAATAGAACGGTAATACCTAAATTATGTTCTAAACTTAAACAATAGTCTCAAAAACAAACATACAATTTGGTGTAATATGTGAAAGTTATAAACTTGCACGAATTATATAGAACTTGTCACAGAAACATTTGTTTCTCATGTTTGGTGCTGTTATACAGGTGCTAATAATATGTTATTTGTAACTTTGTCAAAGTGTGAAGGATCTCTAAATAATTTGTAGGTATATAAGTTTTATTTCGTAACAACATTGATGACACGCACAACATAATCGCCATAGAAACAAACATCAATAATAACATTGATATCATAATTAAATAATATCTACTTTTTGATTGAAGAACGTATTGCAAGATTTAACTAAACACTTTCTAACGGATTTAAACGCGATATTAATTAGTTAACTTGTTTATTATTAATCTTAACTACGGCCCAACGATAAACTACATACAATACTTATATTGAAACACTTACTTAATTACAACACAAAATAATGTCCTTTTCTATATATTCCCTGTCCACGAGATTTTCCGTCTTATCCATACATTGAATTGATAATTTCACCCCGGTAAAACATAAAACAAAAGGCGATCGGATAGGACACTCGACGATTTTTTTTTCGAATATAGAGATAAGTGAAACGGTCACAGGTATATTATTTGTCAGCTTTTTACTGTCTTATTTTTCGCTTAGTGTTCAAACTCATAGCGACTAAGCAGTAATATTTTGTATGTACTTAGTTATATATATAATTGACTAGGCAAATATAATAAAAATCTAACACGATATTTTGTGTTGACTGTTGTATTTAAATCCTTGACCGATTTGTTTGGGGTCAGACATTTTTCTAAACGTTCTTTACTTGAGGTTAAATTACCTTTAATCTTTAACTAAGGTCTCATTATTAATAACGTTATTATACTTTAATTTATTGAAAAGATCTTGAGCAATACGATGGCACAAAAGTTTTATACCTAATAGAATCTTTATACGCATTACGATAATAAATACTCAGTATTTTTTTACCTATAACACATTCTATAGTATAGCAGATAAACATTTAATTCTTCATAATATTAGAATATCAAAGCTCATATAATATACTAGCTGTGTCCGCTACTTCGTCCGCATGGAATAGTTATTTTGGGGATCTTATGACTAATTAAATTTTTAAATGTTTTAAAGCCTAATAATGCCTACCATGAGAATGTTCTAACTAACACAAAAAGATTTTTGCATTCGAACTAGTAGTTTTTAAAATTATCGCGTTCAAACAAACAAACAAACTCACAGACGTGTCACTCTAGCTGAGTAGTCTGTAAAGCAGTCGCAGAGTACAATCTTGGTCGCGGATTCATAGTCCCACCTTGGTCATCTGGTATTATTCAATTTAAAAATAGTTGAAGTATTGTCTCTTATTTCCACGAGTTGTAAACATTTAAAGACTTACGAACCAACGACGACAAAACATATGGCGCTAGCGTAGCAGTTTTGACATTGACATTAGTGACAACCGCCATCTTCCGTCCGTGACTAAGCAGGCAAAGCATCTGAAACGCTATTAAAATAAATTGTAAATAAGTTAACAAATATATTTCGAAAATTTTGAACTGTTAAGTGTTTTTTTTACATAAGAATATGTGTGTTTTATTTACATAGTGCAAGATCCTTCGTAATCCGTATTTGTTGCAATTTAGTTATTATTTGTATTTTACGCAGTCAGCGACAGATTGACAAAATCACTTTTAACAGTTAATAATTCGAATTGAAGCCTTCGAGATTAAGGATTGCTTAAGAGCATCCAAAACATGACGTTAAACATATATGTATTTTTGTTTTTATTAATATGGACCTACAAATGATATTTGCATCAATTATGTTACATCGGTTAAATGCCACGCCCTTACAAATAATATAAATTAAAGACAATAGTTTAATGGCTATATATTTAATGTCAACATGGGAACAGGCTTTCACAGCATTGTATTTAAATTTTATTAGATAATACCCCCAGTCAACACGTTTTCAATTGAAATTTTTACTTGTTAAGACCCCCCACGAACAATTACGCTAATATGTTACCTGTGTTAGTCAATATGTGTTGTGGTTACTGATACCTAATAGCCGTTTTAATGCAAAAAAATAGCATAAGTGTTATTATACTCTGTATAAGAAAATAAAGTTCCATACCTATTCTTTTACTAGAAAGTTGCTCATCAATGTTATTCCTAAATATTTTGTTTTGTTGTTCCTGGGAATATAACTCAGGATACCAGAAGCTCTCGCGTTGAATGCCTTACTCATCATTACAGTTGTGAACTATAAAAATAATTTCGACATAATAATGTATGAACTCTAAAATTAAAAAAGAAATGATGTTCAACAAGATTTAACTGTAACTGTCGCTGCATCATTTCTTTTATATAAAATTATTGTTAACTTGGCTGCAAGGAAGCTTTAGATATGTATATACATAAAGTACCAACTAGCGTAAGTAAGCCTACGGATTTTAAAGACGAAAAACTAGAGACACTTAGGCCAAAATAGGCCGGTTTGGAGGTCTATGTTTGACGCCAAGACCCAAAGGTCCGTAGCGCCACGTAGATAGATAGTACGTGCTGAGGATTTTACCCGGAAACATATTACTTGCCTGTCCGGTTTTCTAGAAAGTATTAAACTAATATGAGGAAATTCATGTCTATTGAAGACAGCGACAGGATATTCCAGTTTCGTAATGCATCTACAAAATTTTATAAAGCTTCATCTTATATTTAAAATATTTTTCACATACATACACATATACGTCAATAAATAAATTTAAAATCAATACAGGTTTATTTTATTTACGATACGGGATTTAAACCTTTGCCTGATTTAACCAATTACAGTAGCAGCACAGTACGCTCTAGATGCCGGTTCAAGCCAGTGTCGTAAATATTTTCAATCTAATTTTAATTTATATTTACTTATTTTAATATGCTGTGTTGTCTTTTCAAACCGTATTACATTTTGCGCAAAAGTTTTACATGTGCAAGTGAATTACAGTTACAGTTAACTTATATTCACGAAAAATGAGTTCGCTTAAATTAAACCTAGTTTTCGCGACTAAATATTTCAATGAATTTAATTAAACACATATAATTTCTCTTTTCTAGAAAAAATGTTTCGAATAGATAATATTATGTAGATTTGAACTACGAAAGTGCTTAGTCAGTAGAGTGTTAAGTCGTTAGTATATTTTATTTAAAATGTATACAAATTATTATGATTTATTAGTATTATTATTAGTACGTTTTAGGACTTATTAAAACGTAATTAAGATATGGTGAAGTATACAGGCGTACTTGCATGTTACTGGTTTTTTAAATATTATAAAGTTAAGGTAGGTGCGGCCAATAAGGCCTGTCGGGTAATAAGGCCTAAGTACTAGAAACATAACTTTGAGTAGACCCCGCCAGCTGACTTCACAGTCATAGGTAGCTAACCACCTAAGATGGTGCCCCAAACATGTCGCGACTCGCAGGCCCGCATGGTTCCGAGAGTGTGGGGTCACTAATCGTGGCCGGCGGACGCATATCTCGAATAATAATATGACGGTCGAACTAATCGTAAATATTTTATGAAAAAAAAAAAATTTCTACGTTATTTTGCAGTTTTACATCATTTTAGTTAATGTTTTGAAGACCGGTGCTGTACAAAAAATTGTAAATTACACGAAATCATTTTATTTTAAAAATTTCTTGACAACGTGGTCGGTGGTTAATAAGGCCTATGAAAATCGACCCTAGGCCTTATTACCCTCCTTAAAGTATTATCAAGTGATTACATAATTTAGGTCTTTAGAACTACTATTACAGAAATTAGAAGCACCAGCTCCTTTTCCAGACGTTGTCGATGTAGAAAATTTACCACCTCGCACTCCATTAAGGCAAATGGCTCCCGAGACGCCTCAGTCATCGGCACCGAGGCAAGAACAAACAAATGATCATACCAAAAAGATCCTCCAACATGTTTTACAGAATGGTTTAATGTAGATCCATCTCTGACGATGAGGATAATGTACCCTTCGCTCAAGTAAAAAGAACATCATTTAAGCAACTCCTGCCTACACCAGCTAAAAATACAGAAAAGACATCAACAGTCAGAATAAACGCCATCAATTACAGAGGAATACCAGTTAGCAAAGAGCTGTCTAATAAGAACAACGTTGTCGCGCATGCCACCAGGACCAAGAGACTGCTATGAGGATGTGTCACAAATGCAGCAAGTGGTACCACGAGGAGTGCGTGGGTTTGTCAGAGGATGATTTTGAGTCGTCGATGATGTTGAGTGTCCAGATTGTTCCTAATTTAAAAAATAATGTTATTTTTAAGCCTTTACTGTGTGATTATCGCATTACAATATTTTATTGATCTCAAATACTAAATATAAGAAGTTTTTTTCGTTTATTTTTGAAGTTTAAAGTCTTAGGCCTTATTATACTACCATAGTTTAATAAGGCCTGAGTACAGTGTTTTTTAAAAGCAGTAATTAAAACTATAATTATAGCATAGGTTGCTGTTTTCCGTTTTTATTTGATAGTTATTAATATAAAAGTTTAAATTACATTAAAATTTGTTGATTTGTTTTAAAAGTTTTTGATTTATTTCAATTCCTGCTTAGCTAGGCCTTATTCGCCGCACCTACCTTATATTAAAAACCATAGCATTCGAAAATCACCAACAATATGTTAATGAATTACAACATTTAAACCGAATAAAAATTATCGTACATTTTGTTTGGAGTTACGTAATTTAACGTCGTTAAATGTACACTTCTTTAATTGTAAAATGATGTCAGGCTTTGACCATGTTTCATCTGATGGAAAAAAAGAGCCATAGGATAAAGTACGCTGACCCATAGGCGTATTATTATTTTTAATATGTACCAACATTGAACTACGATGAGAAGACAATCATCGAGAGAAAATATAATTCCCTACTGGTGCGCAGGAGGAACAGAGCAGGAGAAAGTGGTTTCACCCCCGTGACCACGATAGCTCGGAAATGTTGGTCTCTAATTAAAATAAAATAAAAATAGGTTAACAAATGTTTTTAAACCGTTAAAAGTGTTTAATTTAAACTACTCGCTTAAATTAAGGACATCAATTAATAGAGCATATACATTTGATTATAACCTGTCCGTAGATGAAAATGACTGACCTAACTAATATATTTCACATTTTAAACCGTTAATTCAGTTTTAATTAAAGTACTCGCATAAGCCACAGACAGAGAACGGAAATCTGATCATAACCTGTTTGTTGCTGGGAACGAACATTTCGCGTTTTAAACCGTTCTTTTAGACACGATCTATCTAGTTTTACTAGTTCAAGAGGTCTCTTTAACTCATTACTTTAGGTTTCTTCTCTATAAATGTTACAGGCAATTTAATAAGTCCGGGCACTATTAATAATGCCCGGTCAGCATTCATAATGTTCGACCTAATTAAACAATGTGATTAAAACAGCATGATTCAGTTTTCCCGGTAATAAAACTTAGTTAAGAACTAAAGTTAAAAAAGTAGTAAACGGACTGTCTCCCCGTGACCACGGCTGCTGCAAAGCATCCGTAACGTCGGGCCCTAGTTAAAATAATTTTCAAATAAGCTTAACTTATATAAATAGCGTCTAAAACTGTTAAAGTGTTCCAAAAATTGCCTGTTAATCACGTTGCCCGTAACATTTCTTTTAGATTTTTTTAAACACGTGCTACTTAGGTATAGCAACAGTACTTCCTGGCAATTTGTTCCGACATTTGATCATGCTCACGACGGTTTTATAAAACTACTAAGCAATTAACTGACATTAATATTGTAATTTTTGTTATGTCATACGCTGTAGATGCTCGTCTTTTGTAGGTCACTGGTAATATGAATTGGGTATGTGGCATTTTATGAAGAACACTGAAATAGGTAATTATGCACGATGTAACGTTTAATGGTAGCATTGTATAGCAAAAAATCGACGAGTCGAGGGTTGGATCTCTAATCTCCCTCGAGTCCAATATGTTTCAAATCAATTTATAGCTTTAATGAAACAATTTGTAATTTTTCAAAAACACGTTCAACTTCCTCTGGAAAACTGGATATTAAATAAGTTCACGAATCATTTCATTATTTGTTTAAAATAATGGCCTACAATGGGAAAACAGGCCAAAACTGGAAAGCATGGATAACTTTGGAGGAGGCCTACATCCGAGAGGTTTCCTAATAATCTCATATTTTCTAGTACATAAATAATACCAGCTCGTTGAAATTATAAGTTAAAAGATGTAAATAGCAGTCAGTTAAAGGAAGTAAAGACTTCATTTGTTTATTGCCTCCGAAACGGAGTCCACTCAGCTACGTGTGGACTAAGATCCCAACAGTGATATAGTGCATATGAAACAATTTTTCAACAAAATAGATTACTTACAATGTATGCACTTAAGTTTTTTTATTATTTTAATACATAGGGATTATTTACATTTCAGTTGAAATGTAAATAATCCCTATTCAAAATAGAGAGACTGAAACTCGATAGTTTCAGTCTCTCTATTTTCCTGTTCTAAGGCTAAATTGACCAATAGCGCATTTTAAATAGATGTTATATGGTTTGGTAATCCACCTATAATTGAGTGAACTTTGTATTTGTCAGTTTAAAAAAAAATATGTAATTAGATAATCGGTAAACAATAAACATTCCAACACAATAAAAGATAGCGAAAAAGCGCTGAGACGTCAATATTGCAATCAAAAGTTGATTAGCAAAAAGATAACATTAATAAAGTTGCCTTTTGTTTAGCCGGCGTAATTCTAAACTGTTCAGAAATGGGGTCTTCCCACATTTATCAATGTTGTTTTTTACAGATCCGAACAATTTGCCAATTGCTTTGTACGTAAGGACTTGATCATTGTCAAGCATTTTATTTAGTACAGTTTTACGTATCTTGTCCATGGTGTTTTCAATGTTCAGTAGATTTTGAATGTTACAAACATTCGTACATACATCAATCCAGGGTTGAATATTTCACATTTTTATTTATTACTGAGGTAGACTTTTGTTAGGTACACAAAAACAAAACATACAGTTACACTATTCAACTTTAAAACTATAAGTGTACCGGGCGGCCTTGTCGCAATAAGCGATCTCTTCCAGGCAACCCGAGTAGAAAGAAACTTAATAATAATTTTAATTTAATTTTTATTTTCTAGAGTAGACGGATTCCTATGATAATAAGACACTTCACTTCGGTTGAGTGACTTTTGAGGGATGACAACTTTTACTATCTTATTTCCTTAGTAGGGCATCGGACATCGGGCAGAAATATGTTTCTGTGTCTGTTTCACTAATCGGTTAATTTACAGGCCAGTACTTGTATGGGATCGAAATGGGATTCGAACCCAGGGCCTCTCGCGCTTAATGCAACACATTTAACTATTTGGCTACATGGACCGGCTATGAAGCCAGATAATTAAATGTAATTAATTTACATCTCTAATATTCTGACGTTTAAAGACATTTATTTTTTTCGACGTATTGTTAATACATAGAATCTAATGATGATTATAAAGCTTTTAAAGAGCTTTGTAGAGCCCCTCAAGTTAGGCAACCTCGATTTTGTTTCCCAACTCTCCGCTAGCTTTATTTTTATTAATTAAGACCTTCACTGAGCTATGTTTACACGATTGTTACAATTTGACTAAGACTTTTGACTGGACAATGTTTTCAAAAGTTCACACAATAAAGAAGCCTGGAAGGTTTTATAGCTATTAAATAAACATCTGTTATATAATAAAAACTTGTTTTTTAAACAGTTTAGTATATATAAGTACTAATACAGTTTTTAAATTTCGAAAATCTGACTAGGTATATTTAAAGTGTTCTTTTTTAAAATGTAATTGTTAGCGAGGTCTACTCCGACCTCCTTCTTAACGATAGGAAGAGTAACCCATTATCATAAAATCCCACGTAAGGAGAGAAGAGTTTCAAAATGGAGGTCGATTTAGAATGGTGGTAGTGTCACCTAAGAGGTTATAAGCGTGCGCTATGATCCACTCGTGTACATTCTGCGCATGCGATTGTCAATTGCGCGTTCTAACGGTCAATTCGAAGAGAGAAGTTCGAAAGGTCATTTGAAAATAGAACTTATTTTTATAAGCTGCATTACATTTTCGTTTAATATACGAAAGCTATTTATGGATATACAGTGAAGTGTTTTGCGTGTTTTTAATATTTGTTCTGGTATTTTTAGCTGGCTTGTGTTTGGAAACAACGGAACAGATAATATTAAGGTGAGTAATTTTCGTTTTCTTCAACCGCTTTTTCAATTTTAATGTAACTGTATAACAAAGCACTATAATGTTAAGATAATTAATAAAACATGTATTTATATTTTTTAATAAAGGAAAGAAAGCTTTATATTACATATCTGTTATAAAACAACGATTATCGTAATATTTTCGTCATAATTTAAGAATAAGCTTCAGTTAGTTCTCTACGCGTGTTGATTGCGCGATTTCACATTAAAACCTTTTATCAGTTTCAAACGCGGTGGATTTCAAGATTGGTCATTCGTCCTAAATGTTGGGCTGTAGTTCATAATTATCGTCGTATTCTTAACTTTAATCTAATAAATGGCCGATTTAAAGTCAATAAAATAACTAAAATAATCTTATCAATATTATAATGTTTATAAGACTCTTTATGTAATTTTGCGTCAAATCTTATTCAAAAGAGCCTAAAACTAAAGATAAGCCATTGTTACTTCTTACATAATTGTTGTGTTCAGATGATCTATGTGAACTGTGCCACAAGTCGACATACTACACGCATACTTTTTACGGCAAATAATTTTAAAGATACGGGGAGAATGACATAATTATAACATTAATTATAATGAGTTAAGTTTCCACGGGTTAACAACTGCAAGTGTATTATCTGCTACAGTTGGGCTCAGGTTTCCACTCTCTATCTTTAAAATCCCGGGGAAACATAATAAATAGTTAAAAATCTATTTTTCTTTTAAATACGACCCGAACCGGCATCCACAGCTACCGTGCTGTTGCTCTGTGTGTGCCGGTTCAAGTCCTGCTCGAGTCTAATTTTTTTTTTTATAATCGATTTGTAATTTATGTAGTGCCATGATGTGAAAAATATTAATGATTTCAAATAATTAACAGTTCCAATCGGTATAACGAATATTTAAAATACTACGTAACGAAAATCCATCGGTCACAAATATGTAACTATACTCCGTGTCTGCAGTTTACGCGAGTAGGACTTAAAACACTTTTAACGGTTTGAAACGCGAAATGTAATTTATTATTCCCCCTCTGATCAGATTGCTGAAAAACGTCTAATCGTCGTGTCGTCGAGTCTCAATGAAAATAAATTAAAAATGTTTTAGACAATATATTCGTTTTTATTTAAGTTTTGAATCTAATTTCATTTTATTAAACAATACTGCTATTCTAACGAACATGTTTTTAAATATGGAATAAAAACTCTTCTTCGTCAAAAACACTTTCAATTATAAAGTACCTACTTTGATTTTGGTAGACTATGTTAATCTTAAGTAACTTATTATGGTATAACTTTCGTTTGCGCCTTCGTTTTTTCTCGCAGTCACACATGGTAATAACCGAAGCGTGTAATTTTAAAAGTTATTTCATAGGTCAAGATGTCGTAACTACGAAAGTAAACAATTTAGCGCAAATTCATTGAAAACAGTGAAAGCATGAAATTTTTAAACGCATTTAATTATTCGTTTTGAATAATTATATCTCTTTGTTATATCACGTTTAAATTAAAGTGCAGAATGTTGATAATTTCACTTATCACCTTTTAACTGTCTTAATTATGTATTTTTTAAGTAGGAGAGTTTTAAGTTTATCTTGATTGAACTAGCTGTGTCACCGACGTTGTCCGCGCATTTTCAAACCTGTTCAACTCTATAAAATTAAGCTGTTAGCCACGACGTCGTTTGCGTCCCGGCGTTTTTGTAAGTTAATCATACTGTCGCGGGTGTTTTTTAATTATTCTTTCTTAAATATTTTTTGGTTATCTTGAACCGTTTACGCATCGTACGGATTGCAAACCCACAAAGATGAATAATTTTTCCCATTTTCTCCACATTTCCCTTTGTTTCTTCGCTCCAATTAGTCACAACGCGACGCCTTCCTCGATAAATGCTCTAAAGAAAACAAAAAAGGGTCCCTAGATTAGCGCATTCGAACAAACAAACTATTCAGCTTTATATATTAGCAGAGATGTATAGAACTGAATCGGCAATCCATTAAAGTATTGCAGAACAATATTTCGACATAATGAGCTAACAATTTGAAGATGCACTTATCTATATTTAGTCTGCACTTTCAATATTCTAGCATTCTCATTGATGAAACCAATAAGTTGTTTGTGTAATGGAGATAATATTACTTGTACGGAAGAAGATAGGCGAGTACGAAAGTTCGGCTGTCGACCTATTTATGCTTTAGAATACACAGATTAATATCGAAACGCAGATTTTACAAAATTTCTACTCAATTAATAATGTTTTTTTAAAAGTCTTGAACTTCGTAAGGTACCACTGAGGTACCACACAAATGAAAAATCCTTATTGCAACATAATACGTACATTGTATTTGTGCAATACAATTCATGTATTATCGTTATTACATATAAAGGTTTAAGAACATGTTGCAAAACGCCATTATTATTAAATTATTAATGGACTTTTGATTGCTCTATAAATAAATAGGCATTACTATACCTATTTTCAAAAAGGTCAAACCTTAAATACGAAAGTGTAGTAAACATTGAATTTTAGAAAACATCACGTAAAACTTAAACTTACAATAAATGTTACTTTCTTACAATTATTCTACTATCCACTAAAAATTACAAAATAATAATTACGTGGAAATCTAGATCTTAGGATTTAACGACTTACTAGATTTGTCTTAATTAATACAAATTACCACATTGTGTTTTTTAAATACTTATTATAATTATTATGTAACAAAAACATTTTTTTTCATATATCTGTATTTATATTTTTGTGTCTTTAGGTTGTAGTTTGTTGGTGCGAATTAATTTGAAACTTTTCGTAATATATTTAATAAAAAAATAATTGTCAGCGATTATGTATAAGACACTTCATTATAATAATATAAATCTTTACTAATATATATAGGAGTTTGATAGTTTGTTTCTTTGAACGACAACGACGGGACGCGGACGTAGTGTGTACCAGCTTAAATTTATAAAGATGGAGAGGAGGTTCCCAAAATAACTATTCTATGCGGACGAAGTCGCTGACATAGCTAGTGTTTTAATATTAATACCATCTCGTAACCACGTTCTTAGATTATTTCGCAATTAAAAAGTCTGACCGAATCTCATAAAGCACCGAGGTCTCCATGAAAAGACTTTGGTGGCCATCTTTTACAATTGGTAATTACGCGATGACAAATGACGAGCAGTCTTTATAATGGTCGTGTTATGAAACACACAAAGAGGATTTGTGTAGAAATAAGTTTAATTAGTAAAGATTAATGGAAGTTAGTAAATAGATTATATCGGATCTTTTTAACAGAGAACTGTGAAGTCAAAAGCAAGAGGAATGATTTATGCACTAATGTATGTTCCGGTTTAAACCTAAAGTAGCTTAATACTGTTTGTAGTTTACGCGAGTAGAACACATTTCAATAAAAACTTTGACGGTTTAAAATGCGATATATATCAGTTAAACTTATTTGAAAATTATTTTAACTACGGCCCGACGTTTCAGATGCTTTGCAGTGGCCGTGGCCACAGGGAGAACACCATAGTTTAAGTAATTTTCAATAAGTTTAAGTAATATATATCCAGTTTTAAATCGTCAAAGTTTTTTATTTAAATCTAAAATAATCAATCTTAATGAATGTAAATTAATGTCTTAGGAAATTAGAGCGTGCTTAGTGTCGAGCAAAATATTGTTAGTTTTATCTGAATATTAAAAAAAAAATCAAACACTTTATCCTTTACTAACTGTGTCAGCGACTTGCCAGGTCCAGGTTTCTAGACGAAATCCAAGATGGTTCAAAAATAAAATAAATTGATTGGTTCGATCCGGGTTGGATTCGAACCCACGACCCGTTGTTTTTGAGCAATACATTCCATGAGATCTTACAATACGTCAACCACATAACTTAATTATTTCTCTAACCCGACATAAGAAATCTTCTCAACCATAACAGGTTGCATTAGTATTAAATTCTTCAGGCCACATAATTCTCACAGCGACAGGGTCAAAGGTGAGCCTCGAACCTAGGACCAGTTCGCTGTTAACCTAGAACTTTCCCCAACCTTAGTTTCACTAAGATTACCTGTACGGCCATTGAATGCAAAAGTGAATATATTTTAGAAACAAATGCTCTTGATTGTGCAAAAGTTTTTTAACGGCGCATAATTGCGTTTTTATTGAACGACTAAGGCACGATTGATCCATTATTTGATGTTTATAAAAATAAGCTTTCGTAATAATTGTTAAATTTGTGTTTACTCTTTCTGGTATCAAATAATGTTTTATTGAATTCGAATAATTTACTAAGTTCACGCAATGTCTGTAATTTACGCGAGTAGTACTCAAAAAGTAAAACTCTTTACGGTTTAAAACGCGAAATATATTACTTAACTTATTTACAATTTATTGTAACTATAGCTCGACATTTTGGATGCTTTAGTCGTGGTCACAGGGGACCTTATTAAATTGCAATAAAGTTTACTGTCTAATATATTTCGCTAACTAACAAATTTAATTATAATCGGAAACTCACAAAGATAAATAATTTTCCCCGTTTTTCCCGCTGTTCCTTCGCTCTTATTAGGTACAGCGTGATGTTTTACAGCCTACAGCCTTTCTCAATAATTTTACAATTTTAACTCGTAATCCTGAGATTAGCGCGTTCAAACAAAACAAACAAACTCTTCAGCTTTATATATTAGTACAGATATAGATTTCCACAGACCATAACGACCGTTGATAAAATATATCGACAATACCCTTGGTTCGACTAATCAAAGTGAACGGTGACATCTTCAATAAGCTGTAAGGCCAATTTTAGTGTACTTAATGTTGCAATTCTCGAAAGATGTTTGTATTACGTTAAACCTTGATTATAGTGTGCGATAATGTGAGAAGGTAATTGCCATAAGGTCTTCATGTTTTTTTGTTATGATGTTGGAGCGTTTCAATTCTGCATCAAAATGGTCATCTTCTTCTAATGTAAGGCCGAAAGGCCACAATTCT